GCCTCAGTGGGGTCTGAGGAGGAGGAGGGCAGAGATCAGTGCCTTGGAGGCTGCCCAGGGGCAGCCTTGGGGCAGTCTCTCCTTGAGGAGACTGATGCTGGCTTGTCTCCTGTTGGGCTGAGGGCAACGATGATGTTCTCCAGCCCTGCACATGGCGGGGTAGCTCTTGCGTGGACAGGCACATGAGCTAGTCCAGGGTCCCCAGCCTACAGGGACTGGGGTGGCCATGCAAGGGGAGCCTATTCCTTCCCCTACAGCTTAGCCAAAGCAAGCCCAACCGGCCACGGCCATGGAGAAGGGAACCCAAGGCCAATCCACGTGGGGAGGGGAATAACTGCCTGGTTCAATCTGTCTTCTCCCGCTGCGTCTTTTTTTTGGGGGAAAACTGCTTGGTGCTGTTAATGCAATTAATAAGCCGTCCTCGGAGTCTCCACCACATCCTGTATACACTTCCAGGCGGAAGCGAACGGTCAGCAAAGCCTGCACGCTGCTATGCTCCAGATGGGAAACATCGGCTTGGAAACCACAAGCAAAAGGAGTGGGGAGGTTGGGGTGGGGACATTAAGCTCCTAGACCTTTGCACGTTGGGCTGAGACTAGCCAGAACCAGTGGTGGCCGGAGGGTGCTGACACGGGGTTGGTTTTTCCGACGGCTTGTTGAAAAGGAGCCGGGAATTTCAGCATTACCTTGCAGGGAGAAAATATGTACACAGTCCTTCACTTCATACTAATATTTACCCCCAGATCCCATCACTTCGGGGTGGCTGTGACGATCGTGCCGTGACCCAGACCCCGTTGCCGCACCAGTGCTCTGCAAGCATTGGTGGAAAAGGAGACAGGGTAGGAGGCTGAGGCTCACGGCACACTGGAAAATTGGCCCAGGCACCAGGGTGATGGGCTCACACCCTCCTGCTGCCCTGTGACCGGGGGGGACTAAAACCACCTTGTTCCCAGGTGTCACAGCCTGGAGATGCTGCTTTCCAGGAGGCAACCCTCACCCGAGGGAGCCAGAGGAGATCCAGCTTTTAGACACCACCTCGGTGGCCCCGGTGACGTTTTGCAGGCTGGGGAGAGGAGGGAGAGGGGAATTTGATAGCTGAGGCATGGCACGGGGTGTGCTCCCAGCCCATCTCCCATGCTCCAGCCCCGGGAAAGCCCGTCCGTCGCACACCGCTGGCCATGGGGTCCGGCGCTCCCTGCCCAGCGCCTGCCACGTGCCGGGGGAATTGCGGCTTCACGAACCCGGCGCAGATTTGGCTCAGAGGTGGCACATCCCCACCGTGTGTCCATATCCCGCCGGCGCCCGGTGGCAGCCAAGGGGAGAGCCGGGAAGTTACTGTGAGGGACAGACAGAAATACGTCTGCAAGGGGGAGATTAAAAAAGAGAATATGCAGTAAGTGCGCTGCACAAATACCTATTAAAACCCAGCTCGTGGGAGCTGGCAGTGAGAAGCCCTCCCTTGTGTGCTGGGTGACACAGGGCGAGAAACCTTGGGAGATCGAGCCCGCAGGCTCCCACCGGCTTGAAGGACACGTATGTTCTTCTTCTCCATTATCTGCATCAAGATAACAGCCAGGAGCTCCAAACTTTGTTGTACCAACCACCCTCTGGCCACCCTCACCCGTGTGGGGTTTTGGCGGCTCTTTGCTCAGAGCAAAGCCCCTGGGGGGAAAAAAAAAGGAGGAAAAAATCATCCCACCCCGGTGGGGCTGACACTGAGCAGGAGCCGGCCCTTCCTTCCGCGCCCGGCTCCTCTTCAGCTGCGCCGGCTGATATGGTTTATCTGAGCAGCGCTGAATGTAAACGCTGTCAGCCCCGTCCAGGATTAATTCCCAGGAGTTTGGCAGCCAAGAGATGAAATAACAGCGCTGGGGGGGAGGAAGTGCACATCTCAGACTGAAAAATCCTCCCAGCTAATTTACAGCCAGGTTTCTCTTCTCCCAGGCACTCTTGAGAGAGAGCAAAGCCGAGGGCAGAGGGAGGATGGGGGAGAGGACCAAGAGAAGGAGGAGGAGGAAGATGGCTCCCCGGGGGGAGCAGGCTGCCTCCTCCTCCTCTTCCTCCCCCCTGGGACCCAAGGGAGTGGGGATGATTGGGAAACCACACTTGCCCCGTGTGCAGGAGCTGGCCCCACGGTGCCCAAAAGCGCTTGGCCCCACTGCCAGGGACCTGGGGGGTGCTGGTGGGACACGACCCCCAGCCCCCAGCCCAGCCAAATCACCCTCCGGTTTTGCAGGACCCCCTGGGTGCCGGCGGAGGAAGCAGCGCCGAAGGCACCGAGGTGCTCCCGAACACCTGAACCCAGACAGCCGGCACCGTGCCCGAGAGAGGAGCCTCCCTCTGCTTTCTGCTCGCTGCTGGGTCGATGCGCGTTAGCCTGGGGGGGCAGTCGCCATCCCCACACTAACGAGCACCGGCTCCCCTCTCTTTGGGGAACAAACCAGCAAAAAGCACATTCCCATTGCTCGGCTCATTAAACACCGCGAGATCACCCGAACCAAACGGCTTTGCTGCGGGGAGGATTCCCATCCCCACGCAGATGGGACATCTATTGCTGTTTATTATAAATCCTTTTTATTAATTGAGGAGTATATTTGCTTTAAGGGAAAGCTTTAGAAAACTGCCCCACAGATGCTGTTGTTTGTATGTTCGATCAGTCTTGAGGCTGATGTTCCAAACAGCTCCTGAAATAAAATAATCATCAGGCTCTGCCGCACTGTTTTGATTTTATATTTATTTAGCAGAGGGATTTGTTTGGGGGATACTTTTCTAAGCAATAGTGTGATTTTCATTTACTTTAGGTATTTCAGTAAATAACTACAAATACTTTCTCTTGGGGTTTTTTGTTTTCTTGGTAGAGGGAAAAATTGATTGTCAGAAAGGCCAGCAGTGCATGGGCAGGTAAACTGGTTTATTTTAAACTTAGGAAAGCCCATGTCTCATCTGTCTGCCAAGAGCTGTGCATCACTCTGCTACCAGCAAATTATGATTATACTCAGGATTTAACAATACATTTTATATCTACCTACATCCTACAGACGTATTTTGAGGTCTCAGCGCTGCTCAGGAGACGCGTGGCTGCGTGTG